GATCTTTCTAAGAATGATTTGCAAGGCTACTGAAATCCGAAACACATTTATTTCAACAGAGAAGATGGTTGGGTATTACCTCCAGTTTGGGATACAACAATTCATTAAATTAAACGCAAAGCATCAATACTGTAAAACTTCAAGATACTGTGCGTACTGCGTAAATCGGAAAAAAGAAATTATTAAAATAATTATTGTGTACCCCAGAAAGTATACGAAACGTAGGAAATTGAAGCCATTAATGTACGCGAAAAAATCTTTGTAGCATAATTTGGTGGTTAGTTAAATTAAAAAAAAAAACATAAAAAGAATCCCAGTTCCTCAGGGTATCAAGTTTTGCAGGACATCTCTAGAGCAAATATGACCGAGCAGTTAGAGTCAAAAGGATAAGAAACAAAATTTAAAAGACTTGTGTTTCTTTCATTACAATGAAAGTTTTACGAAGCTCTTGTTACGAATGTCTCGTACTCAGACTGTATAATTGGTTCGAAATTATAAGAACGCAACTGCACGATCCGTAGAAACCCAATGAATGTTATTAAAAAGAAAGCGTCTCGAAGGAACCCATTTGTTTAGTCGCAATTGCGGCGTGAATAGTTAACTAGGGACTAGTTAAGTATTTTTTTCACAGTACTCAAGACAGTTTTATCAAAAAAAACTGTCGCTTAAGTAGAAGAAGTCTGTTACGGTGGTGGTGCCACGCAGCAGCCTCGGCTGTTACACAAATGGGCAGGCCCGTCCGAGTAAGTACCAAGACCTCACGGAAGACCAGCGCAAAGTGGAAGTATGACAAACACTTTAGCGTTTCGTCTGGTGAGTGAGGTAGCCGGATCCCAATTTTCAAAAGGTTGTTAACGCATCTGTAACCCTCGGGTGTGGCAGATGTCCATGGGCGGCGGCATTCACTTAACATCAGGTGAACCGTCTTCTCATTTGACAACTTTTCGCATAAAAAAAAGAAGAAGTCATGCAATGGGATCCGATATTGCATGAATGGGCTGGCTACGAGGAATCAGTGAGGTAGATGGAGACTGCTGTGATTGCACGTGAGCTGCGGTAATCAGGTGAACCTGCCATATAAATGCAGGTCATTAGGGCCACGCAACAGTCCTCACTGTTGCACGAATGGGCAGGTCCATCCGAGGAAGTACCGCGATCTCACAGAAGACCGGCGTGAATTTGAGTGTTACACTATTGCATTTCGTCTGGCGAGTGAGGTAACCGGGAGCCTCTTTATTAAAAGGTGGCAATGCATCTGCAACCATACGGGTGTTGCAAATGTCCGTGGGCGGCGGTCATCACTTAACATCAGGTGAACTGCCAGCTGGCTTGCCACATTGGCTTATAAAAAAATACTTTTTCTTAAAACCGGTTCACGCCTAAAAGACGCTGTTATACTTCTTTAAATATCATATACACTTTGTGTATGCACACTGTTCTTGTTTTGCTTTGCAAACAGATTTTATTTTTAAAATGTTTGCAATTACAGACGCATGTTCAATAAACAAAAAGAAATTAAACACAGCATATCTCATGGACCTGGATATTATCATTTGTTATAAAAAATGGGATTTCATATTTTAAATATGCATCAAACAAACAACACAAATAATGCACTTAGTTATGTGCACAAACACATTATAAACGCCTATTGTGTATTGTTATACCGAAGCTATTAGTAAACGAGGCTGTTAAATCAAATTCCTATGACACAGCCACATCTAGTAAGGAAATATCTAGCAACGTCTACATATCTACTTTATATAGAATAGTTAAAACAAATACTTTTTAACCTGCCACGATTCCTAACAACGCAGCTATACACATCTTAAATATCAATCTCAAACCGTAATCGTCACTACATAGTATTAAGCAATGTCGTCCCGCAGTCTGTCTGTCCCTACTTATGTTTAGATCTTTAAAACTACGCAACGGATCTTGATGCATTTTTTACAAGATAGAGTGGTTCAAGAGGGAGGTTTATATGTATAATACATTGCACCCGCGCGACGCCGGGGCGGGTCGCTAGTATTGAATATGAAAATCAAACGCGTACGAACGGAACTAAGTAGATACGGAGCTTTCAGCTGTGGCGCTCAAAGGCGTTTGGCGTAAATGGCGTAGGGACGGGCAGAAGTCGAGTGCAGACGCTAATTAATTATTCAGACTGCTCCCTCCACGCCATATTGCAAAACGAAGTACGATTCACACAGAGCGGGCGGCGTCCGCGCGAATATGAACGGATGTACGTTTTTCAAATCAAATCAAATACCTTTATTCAATATAGAAGCATTACACTTCCTTATTGATTGTCAAAACGCCACTACCCATTATAACCTATTATAGCCGCACTCTGTCGTTCTTACATTTCCCACAACCTTTGAACAATATACTGTAAAATACATTCTTACGTCGGCATACGGCGGCCGCATTCAGTCGTTCTACATTTCCGGCAATCTGTGGACGATATACCGTAAATTCCATTCTTAAGCCCGGTTTCAGAAACACTGATCATCGTAGAAGCTAACTAATCACCTGTCAAATGTCATTTGAGTTGCCAAAAGGATGGTTAAACTCTCGTAATGAATCAGAATGATCAAAATGATCAATCCAAAGAGTTTAACCATTCTTTTGGCAACTCAAATGACATTTGAAAATCCATTTTATGTTTATGTTTGTATATGTTTTAGAAACCGGACGTTATAGTATTGATGCGTGATAACAATATCGCCGGATACGCGAAACAAACAAGGCTCATGCTTTTTGCTGAGGAATTAGATTACCCAAAAGACGAATACATTTTGGCGAAATGTCTCTTGAAGAAGACAGTGGATCAATAGAAGTATCAGCCACCCAACACAAAGCCTGAACTCGCACAGGATAAGTGTTGATGGCCTCAGCACCTACTAACGGAGACGTCTCCAGAGGGCAGAACAGGAATTTTACTTTACGCAAATGAAGAAAGAAGAAAATGAAGTTTCATTATAACACTCTTAGAAATAGTAACGATAATCGATTTTTTTTAAAGAACTTAGTGGCTAGTAAGCCGAACTATGTAGAGTTTAATTACAGTTCTAAGGTAAGACATGACCGTTAGTAGTTTCGGGTAGAGACCGTTGCAGTGTGCTACTGGATTCATTTCTGTCTTCATTCCTGTCTTCAAACAATTTAAACTGTCTGTATGGCATACAAAAACAATTTTCTTTATCGAAATTTTAAACGCGCTTCTGACTCAACTATGAAATCATTTCGATGAGAATAAGTACGTAAGTACGCACATTGCGTTTCTACATAATATATGAAAATACTCGCCCCCGTGTATTAAATTTTTAATGAGATAGACTGGTATAGCAACTGCCAAAAGAGTTACAGCGAATTAATAAAGTCAAATTTGTCTTTTGCGGGTAACAAAACGAGAAAAGAACATTCGATATGTGAATTACCAAGGTCATTTTTAATTCACGACCATATCAAAGTAATACTTCATCGAAATGCAATATCGCGTATGGTAAGATTTCGACCATCATTCATCAGCGACCACAACGCGCTCATTTTAAGGTTAAGGATATGAAACTGGCTGGAAAATTTATGGCCCATACACAAATGATTTTCGGTCACATGGCACAAAAATCAATTTCGGATCGAACACATCACTCTCAAGTCCAATCTTGGGCACATTAAAGGACACAGCCCAAGATGAATTTCTAGTATATTCCCATGAGATGCATTCCATTGGAAGGAGTGTATTAGTTGAACTATTGTCTAAAGTTGGCAGCACTATTCGGACTGCAGCCGCCGACAGACAATTACCGCGCCCATTTCATTTACATTTTGGAGGAGTAAGATGAAATACTATCGCTGTAGTGAAAGATCCACCTATGATGCTCACTCGCTGTACGAAAAGAGATATTACGCCACCAATTCACGGAGTCACGCTGAGCAAAACCTATCACAGTCAGCTACCAGTTATATTACAAAATCTATAAACGGCTTTTGAACTCGGGATCTCAGCCCAAGGCTGTCGGGTTTTTGCGATTCACCATTGTGATTTTCACAAACCGAGTCATGGCCAGCCCACGAACGGCGAGATTTTAATTATAACACCTATAATTGGATACCTCTGTCCTGTTAGGTTATTAAAATAATTACTTTTTCCTTGGCTGTCATTGGATTGTCTCTCGGTTTACAATAGTCTCGTTTATGGCAATCTCGATAGATATTTCATATCGATTTGTAATCTTGAAATATTTTCAAAAAAGTAACGAAGAAACTTTTTTTAATGGATGTTTATTATACGGATATTAATGTTGTTCTTTATTTTTATTTTCATATTTCGCTATTAAAAAAACATTCGCTTACTTTTTTAAGTAACGTGTAAAGACATTATTCGGGTTCGTATAACTAAAAAAATGTAAATGTATGCAACATTTTCATTTTAAAACCGTTTTAAAGACTTTTTTGTACATACGATAAGTTCTGACGGTTTATTGCTATTGTTGTTTTTCAAAATAAATATAATTTCCTGTAAAAGTAAAATAGGAATAGGATAATTCATCAACAGATATGTCGATTAAGCCACTCCACGACGAACATTCAAACGAGGAAGGTTTATTGTTCAGGCCAGTTCTCGATAATATTGGAACCGGTATTACGATTGTTATATCTCATTGGATAGTCACGGCAACCTTACTCGGAACTTCAGTAGCAATTTGCATCGAATTCTCGAATGCAATCAATGCAGAAAAGCGACGGTAACAAATAAGAAACATCAAGAATTATCTGTTAACATTTTTCTGCGGATACAACTAAAAACTCACTGATAATGAATTACCAATAAGGTTTTATACCAACGCTTTAAAACACTGTCAACTATTGGCGTAAAAAATACGGTGAACAGAGGTTATGTTCAATTCTACAAAGAGACTGCAGAAGGAAAGCAAAAGGCCTTAAGGCTTCGGGCGGCCGAAGCCTCCGGTCGACGTTGTTCCAAGTTCACTCACCTTTGTCCGATACGGCTGCCCACTTTCTATTCCACGCCACAATACCTCACTGTGTCACACTGTATCACCCGCGGAACGCCGCACGTCGCCCGTGTTGTGCAAACAATGTTTTCGCGATCCAAAACATGGGTAATTGTTGTTTAATAATATCTAGTGCGTTCGAAACGCGCCGGTGCAGGCGCGGACGATTGCCGACTCGCCGCGCGTTCGTGCCTCTCGCTCGCGCGCTCTTTCACGCGGTGCTGCCATGCTATCAAACCGAATAGCTATAAAATACTATTTTTCCCTTCGTGTCGACCGCCAAGAAATCTTTTTCTAGTAAGTTCCTCCGATGAAGTTATAAATGAATAGCGGCGCTTGCATCGCTGTGGTCACGCGTTAAAATCGAATCCATATTCACATGACCGATTCATAGTGATTGTTGTTATGATAAAATATTACATACATTTATGCGGAATCACTTAATCTCGTGTATTTTCATCCTAATAAGTAATTTCACACATTAGACTAGTAAAACTTAACAAAAATAAGTCACAAAACGCGACGGGATCGTAGCGTGCCATCGTACACTGAAAAACGATTAAGTGACGCACACGAGAAATCCGAAAGGCGAAAATCGTTTAACTCATTCGCCGGGACTATACATACGACATACTATTACAAGCCCCCATTCCAACCGAAGGCTGTCAAGGACTAATCAAATATAACTCGTATAACAACAGCTGAGCAACTGCCAACTTTCGCGTAAGAAACTCGTGCGCTGGCAACACCGCGCCGTTTTCCCGTAAGGCTGTGTCCGAGCGAAAATGGCACCAGCGTTCGCGCACAATTACGCGAATCACGAATGTGATTCACGCTCGCGACGTCACTCGATGCGACGCGGCCGGCGGCGGCCCCAACCCAACCGCAACTTTGATCGACGCGCTCGCAACATCGTCGAGACGAATTGGCCAACACTAGTCTAGCAGCCGGTTGCACAAGAAGCGGCGGCGTCAAATGGGAGCAAATTCCGACAGCGAACCCGCCCTTAGATCTTTATTTATTATCCACTAGCGACACGCCCTGACTGCGCACGGGTATTATATACATAAACCTTCCTCTTGAATCACTCTATCAAGTAAAAAAGAACATACCAATATATCTCAATTCTTATTTTTACAGGATTTTATTAGGATAAATTTCCTTGCTTTCAGTTTTAGGTACCTACTTTTTTATATGAGAAAGTAGCGAGTGGACGATTCATCTGATTTTAAGTGATAACCACCGCCCGTGGAAATCTGCAACACCCGTAGGGTGGCAGAGGCAATGCCTTTTAATAAAATGGGCCCCGTTTACCTCACACACCATACGAAAAAACCTAAAAACAAAAACCAAAATAGTTCATTCAGCGACAAGAAATTTTATTAAATGTTAATTTTATTTAATCTGTGATAGACTTATCGATGGTTTCGTAATGAGGTTCTAACGGAGAAGGAACAGGCAGAATAAACTCCGTAGGTCTTCTTTATCACTTTTTTTTTTTTAAACATTAAATCGCAGAAGTATAAACTTCCACTTCACGCCTGTCTTCTATGTGGCCGTGGTACTTCCCCGGACGAGCCTGTTTGTGCAACAGCAAAGCCTGCCACGTGGCCCTACCTACCATTAACAGCTGTAAAGTACGGTTCGGCGTCGAAAATGCTAACTTTTTCGTCGGCTAACTCGTCTCTTCCAAACGTGTTTTAGGAGCTAAGTTATTCGAGCTTCAGCTCCGTTGATTGTTGAATTTCTAATCGGTAACTGTGTTGAGAACCACCACCAAAATTTTACCAAGAGAAAAATTTAATTATATGCAATCGGTTAAAAAGCTCAAAGTCGCTCAGTGAGCTATGGAGCGGGCTATGCTCGGTATTTCTCTGCGTGATAGAGTTCGTAACGAAGACATCCGCAGTAGAACCAAGGTAAGCGACATAGCTCAGAGAATTAGCAAGCTGAAGTGGCGATGGGCCGACCATATAGGTCATAGAACCGATAACCGTTGGGGAAGAAAGGTTCTCGAGTGGCAGCCTCGTACTGGTCATCGCAGTGTAGGACGACCCCCCGCTAGATGGAGTGACGACCTGTGCAAATGTGCGGGAAGTCGATGGATGCAGGTGGCTCAGGATCTTACTCCGTGGCAGTCTGTGGGGGAGGCCTGTGTTCAGCAGTGGACTCAAACAGGCTGAAATGATGATGATGATGAATCGGTTAAAAATATAAGAGAATATACCAAAATCAAATTGAAGTAACAAGATAAGGGCCAAAATTTTATTTATGGAACGCATAATCGTAAATGACCGTTTTGCGAATTTTCAACTGTGTGGAAATTTGTTCCGAAAAATTTGGTCCCAAACGACACAACAGAATTCAAAGGCTTAAAACAAGATTTTCTTATTTCATTTAAGGTGTAATTCGAAATATTAGGTACCTATAATATACCTAAATAATCCTGATTCAGGAGAAATAAAATGGAACTAAGTAACTGACATCATCTTTTATTAATATAGTTTAATTTCCAATGTTTAGAAAATTTCAGTTTCCTTACTTTAAAGTATTGTATTATTACTTATTATACTTGTACTAGCACAGACAGACAGAACGTACATTCAGACAGAAAGACAGATATACATAAAATATGTATATAAATTATAGCCTATGTCTTATTCTGATGTATAAGCTATATTATTGTAAAGTTTCATTAAAATCCATTCAGTAGTATTTGCGTGAAAGAGTAACAAACATCCATCCATACATACAAACTTTCGCGTTTATAATATTAGTTAGGATTATTTAGAAATGTTCGCCTCTCGCGTGAACAAAAGGAATAATAACTCGGGAGGAAATTAGATATCTAAAATTCTCATGTTATTTCCGCGAGACCAACACGGGGGCGGAGCCGGGGGCGTAAGCCAGTTAACACATCACAAAGTCTTGTTATAAAGCGACCCCGCACTTTGTACGACGGCGTGGCAAAATTAGACATGCATAGTCGCTAGCTGTCGGAAGCCTTTCGCACTGCTTAATAGAATTAGCACCGGAACTTCACATGCGCGTAGCTGCGTCACGGAATGCATGGAGGGTGCAATGTATGCTCCGCATCTCGGCCGCCTCTGAAAGCTTCGGTAGTAACTAACTCGAGGTGTGAATGCCTTTATTTCGATTGTTCGCTGCTGTCTTTTTGACTGTAATCGTGACGAGTAAATCTTTAAGCGGAAAAACAGAATACTGCGCTGGAGCCTTCGAAAATTGCCTCTGTGGTAAAGACAAAGCAGATTATCGTGATTAAAATTCGAAGAGAAAAGGACAAAGTTTCTCGACGCTGCGAGAATCGAACCCACGACTTCCGAAATCACAACCAGTTAAACATTAAGATAAATGGCTGATTGCCACACCGACGAAAATCTCAATTCGTTTTATCCTTACTGATATTATGTACTTATATCCTTACTCCTTACTAATATTACTTTACAATAATATAGACTATACATCAAAATAGCACATAGGCTATAATTTAAAAAGATATTGTATGAATTGTCCAAAATATAGATAATGATAAGTGTCAACTAAGTAGGAAAAACTTCAGCCATGCGCGAGATATTCTGGTGTATAATAAAAAACTCATTGTCCATTCCCTTTAGCCGCGCGGGCGAAGCCGCGGTTAACAGCTAGTACACAATATTTTTTCGCGTTTAAAGCAATGCTCGGGGTATCTGTTATATATACTTTACAGCATATCAAAATAATTTAAAATCGTTTCGATTTCATATCGAAACGATAATTCGAACGAGAGATGACACCATTGCAATTAGAAATTTAAATTATATAGAGCCACTCTCCACACCTAAGAACATTAATTTAATGTTACATCTTAAGTGCGGAGACTCGCACTGTAAAAATCTAAAGCTTATGGTTTTTTAGACACTGTAGGTACTATTCGCTTTGAATTTCACTTCGAAATAGTCCCTAATATTTATCGAGTGACTATGTATAATATTCGAAAGCAATGCCGTTTCGATCGCTGTCAATAGAAAATCTTGATGCGTTGTTCGCTGTTACAACATTCTATTGTATATTGAAAATCGTGAGAAAGGTCAAAATACTGACAGGCAATGAAAGGGAAAATCAATCCTCCCCTTCTTGCTGGATCCCTTTGTGATTCTCCGGTATTGTTTCCTTAAAACGGGCTGACCGGTCGAGCTTAGAGCGTATCATACTCAGTGATGAATCAAAACATCGCGAGGAAACCTGGATATTTTTGAAATCTTATAAATAAAAATGAATGTTGGTAAGCGCATAACTCGGTTGGACAAATTCGGCTAATTTCTTTTTTGTGTTCCTTAAGGTCCACGGAAAGTTTTAATACTATAAAAAAAGAACGAATTCTGTCCGGGCAGCTAGTAATAAATAAAAATGTTCTGAAGATATTATATGCAGTCTGCCAATCCGCAGTGGGGTCCCGTGGTGTACTATGCTCTTATACCCTCTGAAAAGAGGAGGATTTGGCCCATCAGTTTATAAGAGTTCTAACGTTTTTACCTTGATCCTAATATTTTAACTATAACTGAACTTGAATATTAACAACTATTATAACGACAAGCAGCAATAGTGGTTATATCACCGTCCGGGAACGCAGTCGAAATCCAAGTGACCACTGCTCCATGCGACCATGTGTCCCTTATCTAGAGTAGAAACGTCATATCCGGCAAACAGTGTTGTCAGCGCCAACATTCGGCCGTCCTGCATCACGCGGCTGTCCTGTGGCTTATCCCTCAACTGGGATGCATATCGCCACGTTCAAAACACTTATCCTGTGATTTATCCCTCACAACTGGGATGCATATCGCCACGTTCAAAACACTTATCCTGTGATTTATCCCTCACAACTGGGATGCATATCGCCACGTTCAAAACACTTATCCTGTAGCTTATCCCTCACAACTGGGATGCATATCGCCACGTTCAAGCCTTAAATTTTCCAACTAATAAATGCTCGGTAGCTTAACCGGGTAAACCATTTTGTATCGCTATTTAACATTTTCTCAAATATGTTTAAGTAATTAATTAACTGGAAGGTACTCACCAAAACTTTCGTTACATTTAACTAAAAGATTTTATCACCATTACGTATAGTAACTATAAAACACACTGTTTTATTTTACGAGGGTAGGTACCCAAGGAGAAAATATGTCGCCGATTGTTTGAATAGCCAAACGCGAGTTTTCGTATTGTATCCCACTTCTGATATAAGAGTTCTAACGTTTTTACCTTGATCCTAATATTTTAACTATTACTGAACTTGAATATTAACAACTATTATAACGACAAGCAGCAATAGTGGTTATATCACCGTCCGGGAACGCAGTCGAAATCCAAGTGACCACCGCTCCATGCGACCATGTGTCCCTTATCTCGAGTAGAAACGTCATATCCGGTAAACAGTGTTGTCAGCGCCAACAAGTTGGAGGTATATAGGTTATTACTTTACTTTTAAATAGTACTTTCTACTTTTAAGTAGTAATTTTTAAACAGTATAATTACTTTACTTTTAAAAGACACTATTTGCTACAAAGTGACGCAAAGAAAATAGTGTGCGACTCACGACCAATGTGATCGACCGACCGTCCGTCAACCAGAACGACGTATCGTATTGCGCGTCAAAACTAGTACGTATAATCAAATATACGGAATGAAATAACACGGATAATATTTCAAATTGTAGGCCTACCTACAAATAGAGGATTAAACCTAAAGTTTTTATTAACAACTTCCTAAAATTTCGAATCTATAAGAAATTAGTCGCTTACACAAAATCAACTTATTTAACCCTAATATAAAAGAAATGCTCACATACATGATGGCACATGACTATATAGAGGAAAATGGTACAGGCACTTTCTCAATACGGACTTATTCCGCCTTGCCTTGAGTGACATAATAAATTCACTGAGGTACACGCATATTAATGCCCTTTGTGGCTCCCGAAATAACTTTAGAGCGCTTAAAGGACCGTGCTTCGTGTTGTAGATTTTTTTTTAAATATTATATTCACATATGAAACGCGTTACAAGTTGTAACTGTGCGGTTGTACACTTTAGTATGTAAGAAATTACTTAAAGGTGATGACCGCCGCCCATGGGCAGTTGCAGCAGCCGTAGAGTTGCAGATGCGTTGCCAACTTTTAATAAAGTGGGCCCCGGCTACCTCACTTACCAGACGAAACGCAGAAGTACACTTCCACTTCACGCCCGTCTTCTGCGAGGTCGTGGTACTTCCCCGGACGGGCCTGCCCATTCGTGCAACAGCGAAGACTGTTGCTTGGCCCTGCCACAGTGCGAGAAGAAAGAGAACTTTAATACTCACGCAACTTCGTTTCGCTTCTCCTTTTGACACGTAGCTTGATTACGCAGGACGATATGCACTGGAACAAAGAAACTAATTTTAATGAAACTATCTGATATATTTTCTCTACAGCATCGAAGATGACGTGGGTCGGGTTCATCACCGACGTTTTTCCGATTAATGTCACTTGTCACTTGTCACTTTGCGCTTGTATGTGAAAAACTCCATTATGGTACAAGATAATTTTACCCGCTTGATTAAGTATAAGTAGAACTTAGTATGCGGAAATTAGACTTCATACTGGAAAAATTTCTTATGAAACAAAAGTCCTTTCCTTCGGGAAACAATCATAACAGTCGACCGGAAATTGTCCAATGATTAAAGTTAGGTAGCAGATCGACTCATGAAATGAACGTTGCATTCTACGACTTGTACAGTGGCCACTGCATCGGTTTTAAGGTATAGTAAGGGAGTCATTATGGTAAATAAGGACTACCTTGCTTAGATAAATTCATCAACTCTATTTTAATGAAATAAGTAATATAAAATAAAGTACACTACATAGTATAAAATAAAGTCGTCCCGCTGTCTGTCTGTCCCTATGTATGCTTGATCTTTAAAACTACGCAACGGATCTTGATGCGGTTTTTTTACTAGATAGAGTGATTCAAGAGTAAGGTTTATATGTAATAAAACATTAATATATAATACATATACATATAACACATTGTACCCGTGCGAAGCCGGGGCGGGTTAGTAACCAATAAATTCGGCGTACTACTAAAGCCTTCCACGAAGATATAAAAGGATTACCCTTTTATATTTTCCCGGTATAGCTAAGAATGAAAGTATTGTTCCAGCAGAATAAAGATCTCGTTGACATGTCTATTGAATCTATGACTCAGTTGGGATAATAGTTTCAAATTTTCAATAGGAATATTCTTCTGACATTCAACCTTCGGTCTTTTATCTATAAGCCTGTGGAAAAAACCTGGATTTTATTAATTCAAGTTTAATTAATTCAATTTTATTCATTCGGAGTTATTATTAATAATAAATAATGAATTTCTTAACGCGTTATGCAACTTTTATGCACATGCCACATGTACAACATGTGTAAACATGGCTTCCATTTCTCAACAATCATACTCTTTTTATGTAACATAGAATATAGCTATAATTATTTAGTTAGTAATATCTATTATCGAAGTTTATAAGCGAATATGATTAAAACAAAATATTGTTTATTTTAATGTAATTTTTTTACGGGTAACGTCTGTGCCTGCGACATCTTGGTTTAATCAGTAAAAGCATGAATGAGATTAACATAACAAAATTAAATAATTACGTGTAGAGGTAGGTACTCTATTTCGTATGATGAATCATAGAACTAGCTAGGGAAGAAGCTATTATTTTCATGTATCATTTATATTTCGCTTGCAGCTTTTGAAATTCAAAAGAAGCTACATCGCCGTGGATGTTTTATAATACATACTTCTAATGATATATGTCTTTCTAGATATTCAAATGTTGTGCATATTTGCATAAAATTTTTATATTTTCCCCTCTATATTCTATTCCCCTCAATTTCACCCTTGTGATTAATGTAATGTTTTTCATTAAAAAGTTATTTTGAAATTAAAGTTAGTTTTACGGGCTAAAAGAGCTGATGAGCCGTGATAGCTCAGTGTCCGGGCGTTCGCCTTTAATTCTATATATAGATACTCGAACAACCAGCCAGCACCAATGAAATTGTTAATTTTAAGTACTGACTATCACATGCTCAACGGTGAAGGAAAACATCGTGAAGACACCTACATATTTTCGAAATAATACCAAAAAAATATTTCGAAGATATGTGAATTTCGCCAATCCGCAGTGGGGCCGCGTGGTGGATTATTTCCTGATACCCTCTGTTAAAAGAGGAGCCCTTTGCTCAGCAGTGGGATATGTATAGGCTATTACTTACGGGCTAAATAGATTTCAGTGTTATTTTCATTCAAATCCGTTCAACTGTATGTGAATGATTAAAATCCATTCAAGCAAAAACAACTGCTCGCACTACTTAATACTATAGCACACGAATTTAATACCAAGTTCGTCATTTTTTGTTAGAAAATATTAAGGCTATTGAATCAAAGTTTTTATAACCATACATATCCCCTATATATTTTCAGTTCTAAACACAATTCCCTTAAAAATAATAAAATATAGAAGACATTACGAATGTTTATGCTATAGGTTAAGCAACGCAGAAGTGTTGTTAGACTTCGACCGACGACCGTTAACGCAACAAGCCTCTCAGAGGACTGACATAGAGTATTATATTTAATTTTGCGGTACTGATGTGTGAGGTAAACAGCATAAGATCATCGTAACAGGGAACGGCGTGAAGCAGTTTAGGTGAAATACTTACCGGTACGTCTTCCCATATTTTACTTTGTTCCAATATATACTGGACTTTCAAGCAAATTACACATACCATTCCCAGTTCATATTATGTATAAAAAGGGACATATATGTTGCAACATCGCACTGTTAAAAGTATTTTCTAATTTAATATTTTAAATTAATAATAAGTCAATGGTATCTTCTGTCCGACACGGCTTAAGAATCTCGAAAAAGAAAGGCCATTTTTATCGCAAAGGCCAGCAACACATTCGTAATTCTCCAGTAATTTCAATTAGAGGCGATGGTCAGTTATCATCAGGTAATAAGCAAGGTAAAGTAACAGCCTATATATGTTCCACTGCTGAGCAAAGGCCGCCTCTGTACAGAAGGCAAGGTCCACCACGCGATCCACTGCGTATTGGCGGACTTTGCATAACTTATAAATATTTTATTATTACATTGAGTTGACATATATTCGTTATACAGTTATTTAAAACTTATTAATTACTAAGTGTCATTAGGAATCAACGTAAAAAACTAAGCTCCTCTCAAAACATAATAGACTTCTCCCCACTGAAGTTGGAAAAGCAATCCTCCAATATTGTGTAAGTAGAACATACTTATACTGTTTAAGTAAGCACGGATGGATTGCACGAATTTCCCAAACATCCGAGTGCCAGTTAAAGCAATTAGGGTAATAACGGTAATTGAATCGACCACTGAGAATTTTTCGGCATCCTAAGATTGGAATCACACTAAATTGTGAAACATATTCAGGGAAACCCGTACAAGACTTTCGCTATTGAAAGGTCTTCAGATAATTCTCATTAAACAAATTACAGGGTCATCCACGTCTTCGCATCACAGCTGCATTGACACCGCATTGACTTTTGCTGCTTCTATGAGTTCGTCTAGCCTTCACAAACAGCTGTTCAAGGTCTGAGTGTATTCTTTACAGTCGTTATTTTACGATTATAAAACCTCCCGTTACGCAGCAGAGACAACTTGTGGGGACCCGCATATAACTACAACTATCCTCTCTCCATCTCTTGTATTATTTAAAATCTTCTCTTTAAACTCTTTAAAATCTTCGTTGGTTTGAGAACATTGTTTCCCTACGTATCATTTGTATGGGGCGCAAATAATGGAACATGCGAGATAGTTAATGATAAACAGTTTGTCACTGCCTCCAACAATACGTTGTCATAATGACTACATTTGTGTGACGCATTGGTAACAGTAGCAGTGACAGAAGTAGCTATCAAGTTGTTCAAATTTTAATGAAGCAGATGTATCATGTATTACTCTATAAAAAGAAAAATAAAAATGGAAAAAAAGAAACAAAGAACTACACAAAAAAATCAAAAGAAAAAGTCTAATTGTCCTCCAGTTAAAGAATTTGTCATTGTGCTCCAGTTAATGATTCTTTAACTGGAGCAGTATGCTTAAGACTTTCTTTGAGCAGTAATGAGCACAAGACAAGTGAATTAGAGGACGAAGTATAACAAAAATAGCAGTTAATAGAAAACAAAAGGAAGAACAAGAAGTAATAAAGAAAATTTAACATGGATTAAGGTGATCTATATATAAAAATCAATTAGGCATGGGGCTAATAATGGGTAAGTTTTCTTTCAACAATTCGGCATTTTCGAGAAATGCCACATTTGTACCACTTGTTCAATTTGAAATTGAATTTTTAGACGATGTGGCATTTTAGAACATACTTTTGTACATACATGTTTTCAGCTAAGATCAAAAATCGTGCGAAATCCAACATCCGTGCGATAATATCTCCGACTAATTGCATAAAAGACAAGTATAAACGAAACAAGTATAAAAGACATACATAATATAAACCATACTGCGATAGGACATGACGCATCACGACTAATCGCCGATTTGGATTCTACCAGACAACTTTATTTGGACCACTGACCGACTTAATTCTATTATCGAAAAAACGTTACGCCGGTGTTCTGTGAGGTCGTGGTACTTACCCGGACGAGCCTGCCCATCCGTTCAACAGCCGAGCTTGCGGCGTGGCCCTACCACAGTGATTTCAAATAGTTCATGGTGCACTACATATACTAACTAAAAATGTTCTCTTTACCACGGATCGGCCCATGTATTGTATTTTGAAGGAAAGGGGTAGGGTAGTAAGTCTCACTGACGACTGCGACCCAGAAATATCTGTTGCTACAATTAGTTCTTACCGTAGGATAACCTTAGCCCGTGTTGTAAGGACGTTTTGCATACATAAATTTCACGTGAAAAAACATCCAGTTCCGAAACAACTATCTGTGAGACACATAAATAATCTTCTCGTGTGGGAATCGAAGCCACGACCCCCGGCTCCGAAGCCAATTCCTTGGCACTGCGTCACTGAGACAATATAGTTGGCCCGTGGGTGGGATCCGCACATTTTAGGTACTAACGAGAATTATATTTCCAATCAATATTTCGAAGAAAAAATTCGACGATTCACGAATTTTAACAATTCTACGAATCACGAATTTTATTAAATAACAGATTTCTTGGAAGCTCTATACTACGATAGAAAAAAATCCTGACAAAAAAATTCTAAACAACAAAATACGCTTATTAAGATATAAGTCAAGTAATTAATGTTTTTATGGTCAGGTAAGTCAAGTAACAGCTTACAATTATATGTCCCATGTATTAGAACATAGTCCACCACGCGACCCCACTGCCCACTGGTTCTTCACATTAACTTAGAAATATTTTTTTGGTTATTATTTCGAAAATACGGAGGTTTCCTCGCGATGTTTTCCTTCCCCGCTGAGCACGTGATAATTCATTGGTGCCAGCACCGCAACTCGGAATCAGGTTGCTCGATATATTGAATTGAAAGTGAGCGCCCGGGATATCACGGCTCTAGAACTTGGTAATACTTGGTATTATTTATAAATGTTAAAATGCTAACTTGGTATTATTTATTAAACTGGAATTATATTTAAGAATTTGATAGTGTTTAATATAAAATTAAATTTTGTTTCGAATAATTTGCCGCATTCATAGCCAAAGCATTGCAAAGTAGGTACTGTCGAACTTATGCACACTTCATTTATTTAACATAACATTTATTAATGTCTCTTTATTAAGCTGACTATCTTAAATATACACAGTATGTATTTCTTTTTTCAAATTCAAATATCTTTATCTTGTCCCGTGTGGGATTCGAACCCACGACCTCTGACGACGCTGTCGACGCTGGTAACTGCGCCATCGTGTCTTATTCCAGTATTATCCCAGTATTTTATTTATTTATAGAAGAAGTGGAATCACGTAATCATTTCAACTGGCAGTAAGTTATCACCCCTGCGAGCAAACAGATATTGGCAACACCAGAAACGCTGCAAGTGCATTGTTGGTCATTTAGAAAAGGATAGGTTATTCAACACATGTGATGATAAAGGTGATGGTAATACTATATATCTTTTTAGATAACTACAAACCTGGGTCTGTGGAGCAAGAAGGATTTTATCTTGCAGTGAGATTCGGACTCTTATTGTATAGGAGAAATTGTGTCCGATGATTTGTCAACAAAACTAATTTGAGCCCCGAAAAGTACAAGTTGCATGCTTTAAAATAGATCTGTTGGGCAATTGCTTTTTTGCCCATTACAGTACATAAAATCAAAATCGAGGAACGAAGACGTTGACATAAAAAGTTTTTCGCGTTACGTTTCAAGCGAGCTGGTGGTTGACCGACGGTAAGTGATAACTGCCGCCCATGGACGTTTGAAACATCCATAGGGTTCCAGATGCATTGCCACCTTGTAATAAAATGGGCTCCGGCTACCACACTCACCAGACGAAACGCAGTAGTATAATACGTCTATCTCACGCTGGTATTCTGTCAGGTCGTGGTAATTCCCCGGACGGACCTAGCCATTCACGCTACAGCGTAGACTGTTGCGTGGCCCTTCCACAGTTTAAAGAAGCACTGATCCTTTAGAGATAATGAACACACAGATGGACAAGTGAAGGAAATTACCTCGTGAATGTGGCTGAGCACTTCGGTCCGTGACATGTCCTCAAGCCGCGTCTCGTTCACGTCCATGATCTCATCGGCAAGCTCCAAGTTGTCCCAATTTCCTGCCGATGGTGACCCTGTTGAGAGAAGCGCAATCTTAAATATCACAGTTGCACAACTGCACACACACTAAGGGGTGGACAGCTAAGAGCGATATAATAAGAAAAAATAAAACAACAACAGTGAGATATCAAATTGATTCTGGTTTTATTTTCTAGCTACATTTATGGTTTTATGTATGGCTTCGCTTGCAGTGCATTAAGCGCTCGTTCCAAATCTTGCCCGTGATATCCAGTCGAAACACTTTTCCTTCACGCCTTCGACGAGCGCCGCTTGTATTTTTTTTTACATGAAAAAGTGGCAAACGATCTGGTGGCTCACCTGATGTTAAGTGATAACCGCCTGGTCTGCCCTTGAAAGAACCGTAGGGTTGCAGTTGCGTTGCCACCTCGTAATAATGTGAGCTCCGGCTACCTCAGAAGTGCAACACTTCTACTTTACGCCGGTCTTTTGTGAGGTCGTGGTACTAAACCTGCCCATTCGTTGCGACAGCGAACACTGTATCGTGGCCCTACCACCGCAAATGTATGGCATGTATCGCTAGTTGTTCGAACCACATCTCAGATATATCGACGGTGACGAGTTCGGAAAGTCGGTTAACATTGTATTATAACTCGGACAATTGACGGTTACGGTCTCCCCTTCGTCATTTCAAAAGAAATAAGGTCCGATGGTGCAGCAATACCATAAACGGTACCAAACATTCAATCTCTGTGGAGGCTTGCGAATCGTGTTCACTCCGATAGAGGCAATTTTGTTTGTTGTCACAACCACTGAGGAATAAAAGGGGCATCGCCCGAAAATATTCGGCCAAAATCCGCATGTCCAGCCAACATTTCGTGTCCCCATTATCGAACTTACTGCGTCTATGGTCAGCGGGCTTCAAATCCAATGTTGATTAATTGTTGATATAGATCTAAATCCAAACGTAAAATAAGCCGCATACGACGCCGAATGGAAATTTATGGGTCTTCTCCGATACTGGACGGTACGGAGCAAAATGTTTCACTTCGCGTCAATCTCTGTCTAGTTGATGGCTTAAAGTCCAAAAAGTTAAAGTGTGCTCAAGCTCAAACTTTGCAAATCGTAGGAAACGATGCGGCGAATTGCATACGCACTAAATCCATGATGACGAGCAACCTCACTACGAAATTCACGTTGCATACACAACTGCACTGGAATTTCAATAACATTTTTAATAACTTCCACACGTCCGGTACGAGTGGAACGACGCATGATGAAACGGCAAACTTAACTGAATATTTTGACAGGTAGATGTTATTGAATATTGATAACTGACTGTAAAAACTATCGTTGCTATCTGGTGAGCCAGGGTACAAACTTCCAAAAATCCTTTCCAAGTGTTATCTATATATTTATCATCAGCATATGGCAGTATATTACTTACTTCATTTAACTTAAGTTGATGAATTTATCTAATTATAATTTAATCCATGTATTGTTCTCATTATATTGTAAAGTATTCTGTACTTCAAAAAGAGTTTCAGGTTTTTCTTTAACGATCAGAGATTTCGATTCAAACACTTTAAAATTAATATGTCACGGATAATTGTGACATCCTAACGAATTAAGAATGCTTCAGAAGATATGAATATAATTTTATCGAATGAAGGGTGGTTAGGGTTATCGACGATCAAAGTCTTTCCGATCGGCTTGATCCTTTGGCTCTGCGTAGAGATGTTGGATCACTCTGCATCTTCTACCGCATTTGTCACGGGGAGTGTTCCGAGGAATTGTTTGCATTGATACCGGTGGCTGAATTTTCCCATCGGACATCACGCCAAAACCAAAAACTTCATCCACACCACCTCGATGTGCAGCGTTCCACAACAGCGCGATTTTCAAGGCATTTCCTGCCTCGCACAACCACTCTGTGGAACCAGCTGCCACTGACGGTTTTCCGAACTTAGGAACCTTCATGAACAGAGCACACTCCTTCCTAAAAGTCTGGTAACGCATTTGAAATAATCGACTGGGCCTATAAACAAACAAAACTAATAAATCGATGTCGTAGATACGGCGTTACTAAAATATAAGTGCTACAAAATAAACAATTAGATTCTCGTTAACTAAATTATGCGAGTTCCAATGCATTCAATCGTAATATTAAATTAATTTCAATAATAAAAAATTCTGACAGGAGCCCATATTAAAAATAAACTGTCAAAAACTTTAATAGACGGTGTAACGTGTTCACAGTGTAGAAAAGCTAAATACATAATTAAATGGCACAAAGTAATTTCATTCATCAATGTACTATATTCCGCATTCGGGTATATAATGAAATTTACATATTTCCCCTTTATACTGTACATTTATGGGTTGATGACATTTTTATGACTCTTAGCAACGTTTTAGCTTTCTCAGGGTACGCACGGTTATACCAATTTAATTTAACTCAAATTTTCCGTGTCACGATTTGTTCCCGCTAAATTTATTATAATAAAAGGAATAACGGAAAAAAGCGTACAAAAAAAATACCGCACAAGAAATAATTGCACAGATAAAAGTACAATTTAACAGAAATATCCGAACGTAGAAAATTACACATACACAATAAGTGGTTTATAATTATAAAGACATAATTATAATTATATACATTATATTATAACATAATGTGTATATTATAGTATAATATAATATATTATTATATTACATTTATTTATTTATTATAATATAATATAATACATTTAATTAGTAAATGCGCACATAGAAAAAATACAATGTTCATTTTAATGCCGTTTCTTAATATCTTAAACTTATGTAAGACCTTATAACCTAACCGAACCTAACCAATTAACAATTTAGTAAGAAAGAACAATTACTAAACTTTTCCCCAATAACTAAAGAGTGTACCCAATAACTAAGTGCCTCATTGATGTTGAAATAAACTTGACTGAGATTTAGATGGATTGTGTAAAGAATGTCTGTGCAAGGGATGTGAATTGAGATGACGGCTGATAAAAAAAAGTGGAAGCAAAAGGGCATGCTGTGCCGACCCCAACTAATGTGGGATAAGGCAGGAGAAAGAAGAGTTGAAATAAACTTGATTTGACAGCCCCGAGGGTGTTGCAGGAAGCTAATCGCTTAACAAAGGTAAAGCATGCGTACTCAACATCTTAAATAACCACGAAAAGATACTTAATTTTATCCAAAAGTGTGAGCAACGTTTAGAAAATTGTGTTCAAAGTATCTACCACTTATATTAGTTATCTGAAGTAGTAATATAAAAACTTTTTCTAATACAGAGATCAATATGTTGATGATGAAATGTTGGCCATGAAACTGTTGCTTTAGTACCCACTAGCGATCGATCTATCTACTTCAAACTATAAGAATGTGTTGCTTTATTATTCGTATTCACCCTAACATAAAAAACAACAACAACCCTAACAAATATAACATAGTAATAACTACTTCTTATGAATTCCTTTCCGGTAAACTTCCTTGTATATGATCTGTCAGCTAGAATAGTAAAAAGCATTTCTCAAGACATCGGTCGCGATTATCTGTTTTTGTTTACGCCGGTATAACTATTTCTTACACGAACATGCTTACCCAATATATATATTATATATTTATATAATACGCTTTTGTCAATTGAGCTTAGCAAACTATATACCTCACGGCGCGAAAATCTCAACGTCTATCTACTTTTTAGGGTTCCACACCCAAAGGGTAAAACGGGACCCCATTAGTAAGACTCCGCAGTCTGCCGGTCCGTCTGTCACCAGGCTGTATATTATGAACGGTGATAGTTGAACAGTTGAAATTTTCACAGATGATATATTTCTGTTTCCGCTATAATAACAAATACTAAAAAAAAAACAGAATCAAAAAATATTTAAGGGGGACTCCGATACAACAAACATGATTTTTTTGTCGTTTTTGTATATAATGGTACGGAACATTTCGTGCTCGAGTCCTACTCACACTTGGCCGTTTTTTTGTATTTTTAACATAGCTCGGTGCCACAACTAGTGAGCAACTTTGCAGTATATAGACACGTTCAAATAACATTTTGCAATGAATGTTTGAACGGAAACTGATTAATTGATCTCAGAACAAATTACAAAGATTACATTGTGTAAAATCCAATTTGAAATTTGAATGTGTAAATTTCCCAATTCAACGTTGCCAATTGCAGCATTTTTGCGTGCAAATTCACATCTACCGCATGCTGTAAACACCCTAATCCGCGAGAGTTTACAACTTTTATTAACGTACGTGAAGAATCTGACACACCCCTTTTATAAAATGCGATTTTCGTGGCACGTTTAAATTATCGCGAAAAACTCAAATAATTTTATATACAAATAAACAATCTAAAATGGTATAAAATCAAGTTTTTAAAATTTAATCATGAAGTCTACAGTGTAACTAATATTATAACTAATCCATACTAATATTATAAATGCGAAAGTAACTCTGTCTGTCTGTCTCGCTTTCACGCCACAAAACTATTGAACCGATTTAAATGAAATTTGGTACACAGATAGTGTTCAAAAAACTGGAAACAAAATCATATTTTACCAAGCATATCCAAGATTTTCGTGCGATCTTCAAGTATAAGAAAGAATGGCGTCAAGAAGAACCAATGTAATAAGAATCGAAAGCACTTTTTTTCTGGCGAGGGAGGTAAGCAAAGCTTAGCCATAATAAAGTCTGGCAGCACACAGGAGTTGCGGATCATGTCCTTGGGTTGCGATATATACTTTTATGCTTTCTTGATATCAACCATCTTTTAAAAAATAAACTTATATCTACGACCTGAGTTTATACGAACTAGTAGCTGCTAGGTAAAAAAAAAGAAAAACCTGTAGTTGCAAAAATCAAAAGGAGCAAAAACGGTTCAAAGTATCGGAGTTTCGACTTCGTAGTTTCAAGCGGAAGAGATGTTTTTGTCTGTATTTCCCTTCTTTCATAATATGAATACATCTTTCCTTGGCTAGCGATATACGTCACGCGTCATTACCATCCAAAATAATATCTGATA